TATGACTTGCAGCAAAGGAAGTGCCACCTGCAGGACTCCTGCTTTGAAAGCACTGCACTTCCTGGGTACAACGTGCGCCACTAAACTGGTATGGTCATGTTTGTTGAATGCAGTAAATTTCAAAAGGCTCTCCAGAAAAAAATTATTTTTACACTATTATTTTTACAGAGCAAAGGCTAAAAAGAAAAGGAAGGGAAGGAAAAGGAAAGGTTGGATAGTGGTTATTATGTGAAATACCTCCCTGACTGTGATGACACAGGCAACTTACTTTCCATCCTGGTTCTTGAGGAGGATGGGTTTGGGCACTTCCTCTGTCTTGTACCATCCCAATGGAGTAGGAGGTGGAGGCTGGCTGTGCAGGGGACGAAGAGCTGTTGTTTCCCTGCCCCTCGCAGTGACTGTCTGTGTTGTAGGTGGGGAACAGAGGGATATCTGCTGGGTGGGGCCAGTCTTGCCTTGTTCCTGGAGCAGGTCCTTGCTGTTTAATCCACATTCCTTTCCATTTTCCTCAGTACAGTGCAGCAGGAGATTACCCTGTTATTGAATCAAGGCCATAGTTGAGTGTTTCTGGAATTGTTTTATGTTTGCTCACTTGTAATCAGCAGAAGCTATTCTGACATGCTCAGATGTGCTGTTTCCTTTAAGAAATAATGAGATTAATGAATCTTTCTTCCCCTTAAAAGAGCTCCCTCTCCCTTTAGCTTTGCTTTCTCCCTAAACTCCTGCAAAGGTAAAGTCCAAGATAGTCCTGCACTATCTTGTCATAGTACACTGTAAATGGTGTATAAGGGATTCATGTTTTACTCAGCCTCTCTCTGAAGTGTTGGTTAAAGCATGTGGCTCCTTAGAGCTGCATTTCTGACCTCCACGTCAGAGTAGTGAAGACAAGTCTGAGACACCTCAAATTCAGTGGCAGCATCCCGTGATCTCCATCAGCCAGAGCTCTGGGATTGCCCTTCTGAGTTTTGTTTTGTGCCAAGCAAGACAAGCTTTGCAGTAGTTGAGGTTATTGAGGAGAACTTCATCCAGAAGGGTAAGGCTCCCTGAAGCAGAGTTTGGTTTGAGTTCTCAGAAGGTCAGCGTGGGAAGCTCCCCATAAAAGCTGAACTTTGATGTTGTCAGCCAAGACAGATTCAGAAGATTTGGGAACATTTCTTTTCCCTCTTTATAATTATGTGAAACGCGGGAGACCTGTGAATAGGGTATTTTTAGATTGTACTTTCACATATACAGTATCATACTATGACAGCAAATTAAAATTCTTATCAAATTTTTTTTTTTTTTTAAGAAATGTAACTCATAGTGGAAAGTTTGATAAAGAGCAGTGTGCTGCTTGGCACAGGAATTCTGCTCTTGTTACTAAATGAAACATCACTAGTTGCTCTCATTTAGATGAACACTTTTGGAAGTTCTTTTTTTTAAGGCTAGCGGATTGGACTTCTAATTTTAACTCCTATGGTTTATAATTAGAAACATTTCCAAACTTGTTTACAAACACCTGCACTTGACACTGTGTGTCTGCAATTTTAGAAGGACTTGCTTGTCACTTCCAGTGGGGGTTGAGAGGGCATCTGAGTTCTTCATGTTTGTACAGTTAGTTTCAGGACACTGGAACAAAAGTGCATTTTTAAAAATAAGTGTATGAGAGTGTGATGTCTTGTGAGGGGGTTGCATGCACCTAATTAGCAAACAGGTCTTACTGAGTAGTTGTGGATTATTTCAAAATCAGTAGGATTGATTGTTAGTGGTCATTTGGAGCAAGATCTTAACTGGCACCCAAAGGAGAAATTCTAAGAACTAATTTTAGCAGTTGAGCCTCTCAATTGGAAAAGATGCTTTAAAGGTTTTCTGGTTTTATCTGTACTTAAGACATATTATTTTCTTGCCATCTGTCCTTAAGAAGTTATTCAGAAAGAGTTTTAAATGACTTTTGAAAAAATGATTGCATTGTTATTTCATATGAATTTGGAAGTGAGTTGCTGAGTGTACAGACAATGGTGGAGCATGGCTCCCCTTGCTCCTGAGTGGGATGTGTGTGTTAAACAAGTCTGTATGCAACTTGTTTGCAGTGTGGTGAGTATCATGCTATGTTACTCACTGGTCAAGTGTATAATCACATTAGAAGTGATCAAAATAATTTACCAAAATAAAAAAAAAATCCTTTTGGCACTTTACATCTGACTTTTAGCTGCAGCACATAGGTTCACAGTGTTGCTTATCAATTTCTAGTGTAATGGGAAAGGTTATTGTTGCTAAAAATTGATGCTGTGTGGGAGGGTGTCAGGAAGAACCCTCCAAATATGCTTCAAGGGTACAGCTGAACCAGTAGTAGTCAAAGCAGACTAAAGAAGCAGTGGCATAAGGTGTCCTATTGATTGCCTAATGCTCATGTTGTTCCTAATTAGTATGAAAAGCTCTGGTTAATTAGACCAGCCTGTTTGGTTGTTGTGTCCTCTACCAGGAACCATGGTCTTAGAAAAACTCCAATATAGAAGAGGATAAAGAAGCCACAAAGCAGAATATTTTTCACTTTCTGCTGTTTTGGTGTCCATAAAAGCATGGACCTGGATCCATTTGAGGAATCCACGTTGATGTAAAAGGATCATGTCCTCAGAGGCACTTACTCTATCAGTTTCACTGAGAGTGGATACAAGTGGAGTTAGGCACCTAAATACCTTTGTGTATGCTTGTTCTTTGAAAGCAAGCCTGCAGTGTGCAGCCTGTATGTTGTGCTTGACCCCTCTGCAGGGCACGCAACATCACTCATTGGGGGGCTCTTCCAAAGCAATTGCTCAAAAGTAAACAAACAGAGAATTATCCAAAGTTTTTGGAGTATGATGCACCGGTCTGAAGAATTAGGTTTTGCCTTTTGTAAACCAGCTATGCCTCATATCTGTGTTTCTGAATTCCTTTAAAAAGTACAGTTTTAACAAGCATTCACTTTCTGTAGCAAACAGGCTTTAAAAATTTTTTTACTTTTGAAACAAGTAGGGTAGCTAAAATTATGATGTTACTTAGATACTGCAGAGCATAATTTCTTAGCTGCAATTAATAAATTGTGTTGTAACCATATTGGGCTGTTACCATGTTTGAAAATAACTTGAAACACAGCTTACAAGCTCCAGTGTTGTCAGGGTCCCAGTTCATCAGAGTTAGAATTATGCGACATTTTAGAAATGGCTCATGATTCAAGTATGACCAGAGAATTAGACTTAAGTGGAATTTAATGCTACTTCTTGCTTAGAGAAATCTCTCTTTTTATGATGAATTCTATCTGGAAATAGCACTTTCATAACTGATGTACTGAGAGAAATGCCAGTGTTTTCAGTTTTCCTCTATTTCATTTGCTCATGTCTGTTCTATGCCCATTTTCTTGAGTGTTAACATGTTTCCAAAAAGTTATAGGAGGCTTGAAAGCAAGATCTATGCAAGTGTATAAAGATCCAAATATCCAATAATGCCTTGAAAATGGGCAAAAACCTCTTTGATATCAGAAGTCTTGACTGACCATGAAGTTAGTGAGAAGTTTCTCAGATGTACCAGATAAGAAAGAAAGACTTCTATGGAATATTTGTAGAGTTATCTAACCTGCATGGGCCTGACCAGTTCTTCAGTGTGAATGTTTGGTGTATGTGTGAAGCGATCTGTTCTCAGGATAATCTGCCTGGTTCCTATAGGGAAACTGCATGGAAACATCTTTCTTTGGGTGTATTTAAAATGATATGATCTTCCTCAGTACTTAAAGTAAATACAGGAGTCATGAAAAGAAGGAGAATGGGCTTCAGAGTTCTGCTTTGGTTCTTTTCATAAAAAAATAACTCTTATTTCAGGTAAAATTACTGCTCCTCACAAAGAATCCCATGGTATGATTGAGTATTTTGAGCTGCAGCATGCACAGTATACCAGAATGATATGAGAACTGAATTAATATCCAGGTAACTGGGCATATGAAGGTATATCATATACCATCACATACCACAAGAGAGGACTCTTGAGGAGGCAATGTCTGGTTATGGTTAGAAATATGGTTAGAGCTGTGGATATAAGAGAACAGCTTGTAAATTGCCAGAGGGAGTTAATATAGGTTCCTAGCCCATGAAGTTCCAGTAACTCCATAAGTGGAGTTATGCTTGCATCCCCAGCGCTGGAACACATTGCAAAGCCCTGAGATGCAAATTCTTTGCCTGTGTCTCCAATGGTACAGAGCTGTAAACCAGTCTTTGAAAGTCCATTAATAGGTGTAGAACTTGCATTTTCCATGGAAGTAATGACCTTAAAGAGGGACTGTGAGTATTATGATGGCCTATTGCAAAATCTCTGTAACCTAAATTTTTGCTTTTATTTTTTATTCATGGTACATATGTTTTATGTCAGCAGCTTTTTCGTATTTCTGCAGTAATTCTATGCCATAAAAATATGTGTGTTTTCTTAAAGAAACTGTTATATGCCAGTTGTACCTTGTCTGAAGCGTTACCCAGAGCAAATGTGTATAAAGTGAAGCTGCTCCAGGATAACCTGCCTTGGTTTAGGGGAGAGTTAATGGTAAATTTATTTTTGTGACCTGTCTGCCAAATATTTGTACACTAATTAGGTCCTATTTTGAGGGCAGAGCATGTGAGCTTGTAAGGAACCCCTGGTACAGGATGGGAAGGGCAAGATGATTTTTGTCCCTAGTAAATGCAAACCCCATATTTTTATGTGGCATCACCTAAATATGTGCATTATTTCTAAGCAGCATGTGAATCCCAGGGCTCATATGAAGGCATTTCTTAAACTGGCTCACGGGAATAGCTGTAGCCAGCTCAGGTGTTCAAGTGTAGAACATTGGGGTAGAAACTGAACTGAGTCAAGGCATAATCATGGTTTTAACTTTATATAATGTCTTTTGCAATGTAGTAGAAAATGACCCTTATGACTAGTGGCAAGACCTGTTGTATAAGTAATCCACCCATGGTGCTGGTTGGTATCTTGCTTTTCACTTGAACCTCTCTGCGATGCAGGTCTTGGAGGAGTGAGTGCCTGGTGCAGTCTCTGCCTGACTCCTTGGTAAGTCATTTAAGTCTATTTTTCTGTACAGTCACTTTCCAAACTGCTCAGCAAAAAATAAAGAAATTTTTCATAGAGTGCTTTAAAAGAGAGCTGCTAATCAATTTTTCTTATTATTTTATGCCCTGTGATTTTTACACCACCCCCACCAGCTGGTTAATCATGCAAAAGCTGAACACTTCATTAGCCAGAACATGTTTGCCCATGGGCATTTCTGTAGTAAATTAGTTCTTTCTATTTATACAGGTAAGTCATGGCCAAAAGTCTTTAAGGTGCCAAAGGTAAGGGTTTGAATTAAATCTTTTCCTGAGTTTTCAAAAGAACTAGGTTTAACTTTGTGTGCTGTTGATTTGAAATTACCATTGAAGTAAAGATAGTGTGGGTAAAAGAGCATTGTCAGGCTGTTTAGAGATGCATTGTGCCTTTCTGGATCTCAAATTTGGCCTTTGTAGTACAGGCTGCCTTAAAAAAAATAAATTAAAAAAGCCCAAAACAAACACATACATGCACTCACACACACACATACGCACACACATACACCCACACACATACATGTGTATGTATATGCATAGTATTTTCATGCAGAGACTGCTTCTTTGAGTGGCATGTGGCATATTGACCTGTGTTTTTCCTTTATTACTCTGTGCTTTTTACACTATTAATTGAAAATGTGTGGTTTGCAGATGCTTTTTTGCCTCAAATCAAATGGTGCCCTCTGAAAGCCTAGTTTAGCTTGACAATGAATTTAGCTTCCAGGCTTTGGCCATTGCAGTATTGTTTGAATGCCACCATTTCCTGCAATCAATGTAATTTTATATCTACTTGGAATAGAAAGTCAAGATGATTATTGCCTTAATTTAACTCAGTGTTGTATTCATTAAGGAGCTGATCCCGAATTCCTTTCAGATCAAAGTCTGTCTTGATTTCAGTGGAACCTTTCAGCACACAAGGTGTGCAGTAGCCTTCTGAAATGTTGTCATTGTGACTAGTGAATAAAAACTAAATGTGTTGCTAAATTTAGGTTGTTGCTCATGTCAGCTTCCTTTTCTAAATGACGGTAAGTGCATTCCATAAATAGTATGCCTCTTATGTTGTCATATCTCTTTGGCTTGCTTTGCAGTATTTTACAGGATATTTGCAAATGAATTTTGTATTCAGTAGGCAGGGGATGAAAATAACACTACTCATTGGAACTCCATTAACCCGCAGCTAATGAGGAACCATTTCGAGGGCTGGATGAGTGTAATTCAGATTAGCCTGCGTGCCAGGCTGCTCTGCTCCCGCTCAGGCTCTGCCCGTGCCACGCTCCCTGTGCTGTGCTCCGGACGGATGGAGCATATAGCGGCACAGCTCTTACACTGCCTTTGGCCAGTTTAGTTTTCTGTGTTTCGGTTCCCCTTTTGGAAGGTAGGAGAGGAGAGGGAGCGCATGTGTGTGTGTCTGTGTCTGTGTGTGTGTGTGTACCCACAGATAGGTGACAGTGATCTTGACCTCCATGGTCAGGTGTTTTGTGATGTAATGAAATACTCCTCAAACACTCCACTCGTGCTCGCTGGTTGATAGCATTGTTTCTTGTAGAAAAGGGTACTGCATGGTGACAGTAAAGGTGGTCCAGACTGGCCCTTAATTAATTTTATTTTCAAAATCTATATTAGTGACTGTCGTGAGGGCACCTGGGCACTTCACATCAATAAAAGAATCAATTTAAAAAATGTGTAGACCAGAACTCTATGTTCGCTAACAAAAGTCCTGTTCCCCATTGCGACTAAAGGTCAGTCCAAGGCTGGCCAAGCGGGCAGGACTCACATTCCTGCACCTTGGCACCTGCCAGGCGCGGCTCTGGCGGAACACCACCGGGAACAGCTTCCAGATGCCCGCGGAGACCGGCTCGCTGATGACCGGTCACTTGTTAACCCCCATATGTCTGAAGTCGGTTTCAGGACTGTGGGAAAAGGTGGAAAGACCAATCCCAGTTAAAAATGTGACTTTGCCAGTTGCTGGCATTCCACTGAAGTGCAGGCAACTGGGACTTGGTGGAGCTGTGCTGCTGGAATAGAGGGAGGAAAAAATTAGACCTTCTGGAGAACAGGCTAGAGATCTCTTAACTGAAGAAACTTTATTGACGACAAATGTTACATTGTGCAAGCTTAGCAGATTCTCTAGGAATATAATGCTTCCCAGTGTTTTCTTAACTTGTGTTAATATTTTATGATACCTGTGCATTAAGGGCCAATTGCTACAATGTTTAAGTGAGTTTGGGCTGCTGAATTGCTTTTGTGGACTTCAAAAAAAATGCTAGTGGACATTACAAATTAGCTAAATTCCCAATCTCACTTAATGCTCTGATGATTTAAAATCAGATTTTTTCTGTTTTTCACGTATTAAATGAGCATATGTAATTAAAATTAAATGTTGATGCAAAGTTGCATTTTACTTATTTGTATTTGGACATTTGAGACAATAATCCCACTTCAATACATATCTAATTGTGCAAGCAGCACTGAAACTAGGAGTTCTTGGACACTGGTGTAATTTTTTGAGTGTGAAATGATAATATATTTTCATGTCTTGAAATCCAATTGAACTCGAGCTGAGCTTAAAAACCCAAGATCTGATTCGGGAGAATTCAGTCCCATCTGGCTGGTGGGTAGCAGGTGTGCAGTGTGTGTTTGAGGGAGGGAGGTGATTGCAGGGAGTGAAACATTTCTCTTTTCCTGTAAAGCTTTAATTCCAGTTTAATGCTGTAGTCTGAAGCTCTCTGCACTTTAAGTTCTTGTGTAATTACCTACATCTATTGTTGGTCTCCATTTCTAGACAACATAATGGTGATGGTGAATGGCAGAAGCAAGTAAATGTCCAGCATTATAAAGAAATATGGTTTCTAATTCTCAAAGTTTGGATTTATTTTCTTTTACATCCAAGTCCCTTGTATGAGAGAATGTGTTTTTACAAATTAATACAGACGTGATCTTGAAGACCAAATGAGAAAGGTTTTATTGCAGTGTTCAGGATCAAGGTCTTTTGAGTAGTTTTATGTGTTCCCACAGCAGCATAGAGAATGTTTTTGTTGTGTATATTTTTATAAAGAAAAACTCCCCATCTTATGTAATTTCTGTTTTCATCCCATAATAGACAGGTTCTACATTTTTTTTATTACTGCAGTTGTAATGAAGGAGGGTTTTTTAATCTTTAAAAGTATTTTAGCAATATATTGAATACTTTTTATCTCTTAACCTTAAGAAACTTCTCCCAGCCTTTCTCATTTTCTTCTTTCTCTTTCCCTTTCTTCATGTTTTGATAAGATACTGCCAGTCAACCCCCGCCTCTGCCTGAGAGCTTTTTGCTTGGGAGGTTCAAGAATCTGCTCTTCCTTGACTTTTGTCACTCAAGTCAGCTCCCTTTCACACTCCTATCAACTCTCCCTCTTCCAACTTTTAGATATTTCCTCTTCTTTTTATTTGTCTTCACTGCTGTATAACATTGTGCTGAAGAGTCTTCCAGCACATGTTTTTTTTATGGGAGTTGGCATGCAAAGCATTTCTTACTTAGCAAAATAAGTAAGCAAACATACTTCTTTTACAGCTTTTGAGTTCACATTACTACAGTAGATGTCACTTTTGCTGCTGTATTTCACAGATTTTTTTCATAGTGAAGTGACTTAATTTCTAACGTAGAGTGGAGATGGTGCTGTGTTGCCAAGGAAAGTCCATCTGGTTTGACAGATGAAATGATAAACATTTCTCTGGACATCCCTGTAAAGTTCTCCCTTTTGTTTGTTTGCTTTATGAAGTTAAATGGAAGAGGTCACCCCCTTTGACAGAACAAATTCTTTTTTCTAGCAATTGGGCTTTGCAAGAAAACATTTTTTTTTAAGCAAGTCATCCATACCACACCGTAGGCTGTTTGAGTGTAACAGTATGTTACAGTCTGCAAAGTTAATGCAGTTAATATTCAACTGAACTTTTGGGGGGTTGCTAATCCCTTAGGCGGGCTTAGCAGAAAGGGCAAACATATTTATAGCACTTTGAATCAGACTGCAGTGAACAAGTAAGAGTATGTGTTATACCATGTAAATGTTACGCAATTTCAGGAAAGCTCAGTGCACGATCATCTTTTAATTTTATTTAAGTTGATGAAATATCTTGTCTGTAAGCAGTAGAGTTGTTGGTTCAGTGGACAACAGGTCTGTTAAAATGAAACTCAGTGAAAAGTCTTGAGATTGTTGTTCTGGTGATAAGTTATGAAGGTTCTGAACAGATTTATGGGCTGTCTAATTAGGAGCTAACTGTATTCTTTAGGCTCTGTCATATGTATTATTCCCTAATAGGATTTAATTGGACTTTGTCACATATCTGGCTATTACTGAATGTGTGCGGGGCTGTCAGTAGCCTCTTCCATGTAGACCTCGGTCTCTTACTATCTTTGTAGAAGTAAAAAGATCATTCCTGAGGGATCTTTGCTCCAGAAGTGTGACATTGGAAGTGTGACTCTGGACAGAGTTTGCTTTGGTTAGAGCCGTGGGCACCCCAGGCAAAAAGAACAAGAGTCAAGTCACAAGTTGCAGGCCGTTCATGTAAAAGCTGAAGTGCTCAGGCTGGGAATGTCCAGCAGTGAGGGTCACATCTCTGTGAGACAGAAAATCTCCACATTTATGCTATAGACAAAATTTGCACTGAGTGCAAAGTTACATAGAAAAGCACAAAAAGGGCCCTGTAATGCTGCCATCCCATCAGGAGCCAGAGAAGAAGGAATTATGATCTTGGATTTTACACACAATTTGATTGTGTAGAGTTTTTTAGGCAAATAAGAGAGATCTGTCGTTTGGCAGTCAACAAAAAATAATTTGTACTTAAAAAAATTACTTTATTTTGAAAGAGATGAGTGCAGTTGCTAACAGCTGCAATCTGTATGATAAATTCTGTCAGTTTCTGGTGCCCTATCAATGCAGAATACAGGTCTGACGAAGTGCCCATTCTATTCTAATTAAGATTTTTAATATGTTTTACCTTTTGGCTATTTTTTCTATTTTTTCTAGATATTAATTATTGGAAAGAGTGGCTACAACATGGAACCTGACTTTAAAGCGGGTTCAGGTGCCTGAATTTATAGATGCACTCAAGTTACTTATTGATTTGCCACCTTACCTGTACCCATTCCTTTCCTTTTTCTTTTGCTCTTTGTGAAGCATACTGGCCATTCATAGTACTTCAGGAAAAAGTCCAGCAAAATAATTAATATGTCAGAATTGTTGGATAAATGTAAATATGTTGCTAAAGATTTTAAAATCTATTTGTTATGTTTTTTGTTAAAAATAGCATGACTGTGTACTAGAGCAAGTTAGAATTTTGTATTTGAGTTATTTATATCTGAAGTACCTGAAAATATCTAGTTTATTATGTACAAAAGTTGAAATTTCAGAATATATTAAAACAGTAGCTCAAAGGTCAAAAGCCTCTCCCAAGGAAGGAAGGAAATCAGAAGGGAATTTGGGCTAATCAGGTTAGTTCTGTAATGGTTGCACAGGGGCGATGTGGCTGACACCATTTGTGGCTTCCTTTGGTTGCCCATCCTGAATGTCACTAGCTCATCATTGGATCAGCTTCCATGAAAATCCTAGCAGGATTCACCCTTAAGCCTTGACCTCTATAACATGATCTCGTAGCATTTTTATCATTGTACTGAGCAGTAAGTGCAGGGGTCCATTGCAAAGGCCTGACTTCAGAGTGTCCTGGTGGTGGAGATCTGCTGAATGTGAGCTGCACATCCTGCAGCCATCTAGGAGCTTAGAAATGGATTAAACAATCTGCAGTTTTATTGTGAAAACAGAGTTAACAGTCTGGTGATGTTAACTGTGTTAAAAGGTAGAGGTGTGTGTGTGTTAGTGTGCTGAACTCTATACATTTATGAGCTCTTTTTATAGTACATTCCCAGCAGCATTCCCAGGAGCAGTCCAGGTCCAATCAGGGCTGGTATGCCATTGTGAGAGGTGTTGTTCTAATTCATGTGTAAATGTGGAGTGGTTGCTGCCCTGAGGATATCACAGTGAAATTTCAAACAGGATGAAGACTAGGAGGAGGTGTGGAGGAAAAGGAGGGCAGCTGCAGCAAGTTGCACTTGTCTGGTCAGGGTTGTGGTACATACAGCCTGATACCAAGTGATGGCATTTCATTTATTTATAAGCCTGCTGCCTTCAAAACAATTAGCCTATTTGTGTTTTGTTTGTGTCTTAGTTATTTAAGATGAAATGTAGAGAGTACAAAATTAATTGTTCCCAAGATCCTCCTGCTCTGTCTCTAGCAATGACCAACCCGAGGCACCTCAAGTACAGTTGTAAGAGCTTCACAATGGGCAGACTTTGGATAATCTTCTCTCTACACGTTCTCATCCTAATCTTTCATTATTAGGGATTAATTTGAGCTTTGAAGCATGAGGTTTAAAAAATATTCTATTTGTTGTTCCCCCTCCTCCACTGTCAACCTTGTTTAAAATACGAAATATCCTCCCAAGCCTGTCATCTGAGCTATTTTCAGAGTAATCCTACCTGCTTCTTGGTGCGTTGGCCAAACCTGCAGCTTGAGAGCTGCCGTGGTGGTTTTGCTTGCTCTGGTGCCAGAAGGCACTGGTAGATCCTTTTCCCCGGGTAGGTGGGTGAAGGCAGAAGCATGTTGAGCAGTTCTGGCCTGGATGTTCCCATGTCACCATATGTCAAAGCTGTGATGCTGCAGCTGGATCTCTCTCCTTTCTTTTAATATTTTAGTGGCTAATTTGCAGTAAAGCAGAATAGGAAATAACCATAAATAAATCTGGGAACCTTTGTATTAATTTCTTTTGCTAGCTGTGTACATGTGAGCAGCTTGCCATTTGCATATGTGAATCTTGTCATAACAATTTTGGGAAGTGATTTGTTAATAATCAAGTTCTCAGAACAGCTCTAAATCAGTAATTGATGTAGGTCTGGATAAAGCAAGCCTTCCGCCTGCCTGTTTTGTGGAGCATTTTTGGCAAGTTTCAAGCTAGTGTGAAAACTAGCCATCAGAATAAAATTTAGGACAGCTGGGATGCTTTGCAGTGAAGACTTTTGGCTCCACAGTTCAAATAATCACAATAGCAGCTCAATTTAGCCTTTGGCTGGGTAGGTTTGGCAGGGCACAATGAAAAATAATTATTTCATGGCCTGCTTATTTGTCCCTTAACAAATAAACTCTCTGACCTATGCAGGCTTATGTAAATATGCTGCCGTATGTGGGGTTGTAGAACGCTGTCATGTCCCCATTTGGAAATATGCTTTATTTGCCCTCATGCTGCAAACTTTTTTTAGAGTTCTGTTTTGGAAGCAAAGAAGGGGATAGGATATATCAGATACTGAAGCCCAGACAGCCAGGCACAGAGTCGAAAAGCCATCTAACAGTCTTTTTTCTCTGAAAACACATCCATTAGTATGCAGTGTTTTCACTGCTGTAATAATAAGAGCAATCATGATACGAGCAAGTCCGTCTCTTCGCAGCCTTCCCACGCGGGATGGAGAATGACAGCTCCTAAAGCATTTGGATATTTGCCTGAATGTGTGCTGCTTAGCTAACAGCAGTTCAACTTGCTCTCCATCTTATGGCTTCCAGGATATCCTTCTCAATTTTTTCAGTGACAGCTTAAAATGTGAGATGTGGAGGGAGGAGATAAAAGCTTAGCAAAAGGCTTTTTTGTTTGTGTATTTAAGGGGAAGTGTTATTACACTTGATGATGGAGGGATGTGCCACACTATCTTCTGTTCCCACTGTTTTAGTATTTGCACTTTCTGTTGTAGTGGCAGCACTGATCCATAACAGTGTCTTTCTGCTTCCCCCTTGGAGAAGGGAAAATACACGGAAGAACACATATCAATGGTTTTGTCTTCTGGCACCACCATTTTGCTTGTGCAGCAGTAAAATAAAGCCCTTTTTCCAAAGAGCTGAAAGATCTCTCTAGAATGTCTGCCGTTGCACACTCGTGCACAGACACATGCACACTTGGGCAGGCTTTCGCCGAGGTGGCTACAATCTGTTTTTAATAGTGGCACTCCTTCTCAAAATGTCATTTAAAAAAACATCAGCAGTCATGTCATGCATTGGGATGAATTTCTAAATGTAAATGAGATTCTCTCAGTAATTTATTTACATTTGTTTTCAGCACAACAAATGAGACATCACGTAGCTTCATAATTTCCCATGACCGAGTCACCAGCATGAGGTGTGTAATTTACTCTGATTTAAGATGCTTATCTAGAGGTTCTTGCTACAATACCTGGTGGGCTTTTTTATACTACTTTTTGCTGCCTTTTAACCTATCTACTTCACCTCCTTCTCTGTATTTTCAGTTAAAAAGAAGTATAAATGTGTCTGCTTCTTGAGGCCTTTTTTCAGTAGAGCTGAGAGGGATGGCTTTGTTGCTTTTGTTTAGTATTTGTTTTATATTTTCCCTGCCATTCCCTTCTCATTTGGTAAAATCATTGAGGGTTTCCAGAATGTATCTCCATTTACATTATGATGATGTGGAAAATGGAAAGCAATGCTGATTGTGGACATTTCTGGTGGCAAAATGTTTGTCCAGAAATGAAACAGTGCAGTGGGAAGCATCCTGCAGTCGTTTGTTCTCCCCTCTTCTCAGCTGAAATACTAAATCTTAGACCTGTTCTTGGCTCTAATACTGACTTTAAGTTTTTGATTGGCATGTAGCTGAAATGATACTTTGCTTGTGATGGGATGTGAATGCCAGTTTTCAAATTATGTGGACACAGTCATGTACTACAAAACTCATTTATTTTAAGCCTGTAGTTGGACCATTTAGATGTCTAACTACTTGCTTAAGTATTTCAGGTAGGTAGATGATTAAAGGTGCAATGTACCATGCATACAATTTTGTACCTCTTATCTTGGAGACCTGCTTATGGCTTGAGTAAAAATCAGGGCAATGGCTTTTGCTATTTTACAGGTTATCAGCACAGGAGAACTGAGATACTTTGGTGAAAGTTACTGGTAAGTCCAAAAGTGGTGCAAAAGGCTGTATTTTTGGGTGTTACAGTGCAAAAATATTGTACATCTTCGTGGAGATCTGCAGGATTAACGCTGTGTGGGTGATCTTTTCCTCGCAGGGAAGAAGCATGACATTTCTTTGTGTCAATTCCCAATGCAAAAATCTGTGTCTTCCTTTAAAATGAATAAGCATATTCCAAAAAATAATAGATTTGGACTGGTTCTTAATGTGCATTGTACATACTAGGTCCCAGTTGATTTAATTTTGGCCTGCTGGCCATTTCCTTAACATTGCATGGGTCTAGCACCAAATTATGCTGATGGCCTGTCTATCACCAAATTATTTACAGAACTGCAGTTAAATTATAGAAATCTTCCAGACAAGCAGTGCTCTGGGCAAATTATTTCATCAAAGTTATTTTCCATGGTATACTTAAGCAAAAGCTTACGGGAGCAACATTAATCTTTTTTTGGTATGTGATTATGCAGACGTGGTAACAGCCCCTTTTTAGAAATAGCTTCCTACCTGGGAAAACAGAAGGAAACCATGATATGAAAATTAGTTCTCTCTGTGCTATCCTTGGTTTGAAGCAAACGTTTTATGTCAGGGAACCACAGGACTGGGGCCAGAAGTAGGATAGCCATTTCTGCACTCTGTCAGCTCCTTCCAGGTCTTGGGGAATTTTCTTTCTGTAGACTTTTAACTGCACACTACTCTGAATTTGTAAAGTCAGCTACTGCAGAAGCAGGTCAGCTGGCTTTACTAGTTCTCCATCACATCCAGGCCCAGTGGTCCTTGCCCACTTTTCCAGAGAAGAACGTTTGTGTATCTGAAGGCAGTATAGGCATTTTCTGCATTACCCCCATCTAGCAAGATCTGAGCTGCTGTATGATTATGAAACATAGAAAGAGAATATAAGTCCTAAAAGCAGCCCTAACTCCCTATTGTAATTGTCATCCTTTCAGGCTCTGTTCCAGAGTTTAGAAATATAGTCAGGGTAGAACATCTATATTTGGGTTTATATGTAATGGTCATACCTACTGGTTCACTTGGAAAAATGTTGGCATGGATCACTATTTAAGGACCTTGGGTGCAGCACTTATGTTTAGCTCAGTGTTTTTTATCACTGCATTTTTTTTTTAGTATTCCATGTTACCATGTTTGCACTGTGAGACAAGAATGCCTTCCCAGCCTCTGCGTGGTTCTGTGATTTTTGTTGAACGAATATAGAAATTCAGTTTTTTAAACTGACTCCCGTGAATAAATTTCTCTGGGAAAACAGGTGCTAAAAATCTGTGGTTTTCAGACCTTTCTCTGCCCATGTACTTAGGGTAAGACTGAGCCATGTGTACATGGCAGGCTGGAATGGAACCTCTGTGCTCAGGGCCCGGATGTGGAAAACCTTACGTGTGTGAGGGTGGCAGACTCAGGAACTTTAGCATGAGAACTAAAGGTTTTTGCAAGTTGAACATCTGATTTAACTTGATTTCTCTCTAGTGTTGGGTGGTGGTTGCTGTTATGTGGGGCCACGCCTGGGGAACCCCCCTTGTTAGCTCACCCAGGGGGACTCAGAGGCAGCTGGGAGGTGACACTCTAATAACTGGGGTTTCATAGTGTTGTTTGAGGATTTTTTTGTTTATTGTTTTTTTGATTGGCAGGATGTGAATATATGTGAAAGCTGGATCTCCTTTGCTTGTGATCGTCAGCAGATGCAAGTCTGATTAAGAGTCCCCTTAATTTAGAAATGCTTGTAAAGACAGGAAGATACTTAAAGCTGGCTTTGTCAACAAAATGGAGGAGCTGTGCTCTTGGAGCGCATTAACAGCAGTGCCAAGATGGCCACCACTGCACAAGTACCAGGAATTAAGTTTCTACAAAACCCTAGAAGCTCCAAATTGTATATCTCACCAGTTCTTTACTCCCCCAGTTATAATCCATATCTCACTTATTGCTAGAGTCAACAGTCTAATGGTAACAAAAAATACAACCTTTCATCATCTATTGATTTTCAGTCTTTAAAAACTGACAATAAGCTATTTTTTGTCCAATTTCTCAATAAATAGGAACATATATTGGTTTTTCAGTTTTATTGTATTAGATTAGAATATATTTTACTGCATATAGTGGGTAATGTAGCATCAGGAGAGATGTTTACATTCAGCAAGTAACTTTTGAAACTGCATAGCTCAACTGAGATATGTAAACAAATTTGTAATACTAGTTTAATTTAGATTACAATGCAAAATACTCAGCCTGGAGCTCATTTTTCTATTTATTCCATTATGATCCTCAAACTAATGGAAGAGAATTGCCATAAAAAATAATTACAATAAAGGTGAACATCTACTTTCTTCTCATAAAAAATAATTACAGTAAAGGTGAACATCTACTGAGAAAGAGGGAGGAATTTTGAGGTATAGTAAGCAAACCATTGGGGTTTATTTCCTAGAAATCCACCACTGACAGTGTTGTATAGGCTGGGCAAGTAATAAATTCTGTCTGTGTGATACTGTGTCAAACGACACAGCACAAACATCATCTTTCTGAGTGACCTCAGTTACCTTCTCTCCTCTTGAAAAAGGAGACAAATTATGATGTGATTTAGCTGTGGCAGAACTTGGGATGTAGATTCCGAGTTGCCTCCTCACTGCCACCTGCCTTCACAGCACAAGATCACCTGGTGGGTTTTTTTTTCCTTTCCAGAACCTCTCGGGAGACACTGAAGATCAACAGTTGCCTCTTGCTTACTCTTGTGCTGATAAAAGGCAATTTGATGGTATTTTTATCTCTGCTATAAAACCAGTTTAACATTTTTTTCTTTATTTTTTTTTAATTAAGAAGCAGTTAATTTCTCTTCTGGTGACATTCAGTCCTACAGCCAAAGCCAGTAAGCTCTTAGATTTTTCCATTCTAGCACCAAAAGCAGTGAGATGGAGGTGCCTCTGCTGAGGTGAGGGTGTACGAGACAGCCTCTGCTTTAAACCACCTGAGCCGCCAGCACTGGCCTTTGCTGACCCAAGGGGTTCTCTGGCTTCAAGGCTACTAAAGTGAACAGGCAGGCTTCCTAGCAGGCTTCTCAGGTGAAAACATTTGCTTAGATGATGAAACCTTTTCCTGAACACTCTGAACAGAGAGACAGTTCTGGCTTATGTTTCATAACCCTTTCACAGTAAGCAAAGAAGGAACCATTTGGTCAAAACACTTCCTTTTGGGTGTCTTGGATGTGATTCTCTGAGGCACAGGCCCTTTCTCATAAGCTGCTGTGGATCTTACTGTCATCTCTGTCTTACAGGATCTGATGTAGAAGGAGTTAATAGATATCCAGTGACCATAGCCATTTATATTTCTCTTTATATACAGAAGTCAAGTGGAGCATGTAAAATTGGAAGGCAGAACCAAACCTGAAATTCTCTAACTTTATGACTAGTGTGTGTGTTATTTTCCCATGATCTTTAATTACATTCTGCTCTGGAGGGGGGAGAGGGGGAATGCTAATCTGGTGCACCAACTGGGGGAAAAACAAACTGTTTTACAGCAGGAGTCTAGATGACAGCACACAGAAAATGCAAAATCTGACATTCATATGAAAGTGGGCTAAGCAAGACCATAGAAGAGAGGCAAAATGACTGCAGCAAGAGGAATGCAAGTGGTTTAAGGAAACCATGGTTTCTCTATTTATTGAAATAGCACAGCCGACCTTTAAGGTGGTACTGATATGATGTAGATTTTGTAGAGCAGCACCAAGAGAGATGGCTGTCATAAAGGGAATGTGCGATTGGATTCAGGTTCCTGAGAAGCTGGGTTTAGAAGAGTATTGACCTTCCCTCTTTGAACGTATAATATAGTGAGGCATGTCTCATTGCACTGAATGGAAAGATGCTATTTTCAGGACTGCTGTTGCTGTGCTTGCTAATGAATTTCCAAGGGGTGTTTGAGCCTTGGATATTGACTGTAGAGATGCTTGCAGTCAGTTGGAAGAGATGTGACTGAACATGAAGCTTACTTCTGTGTGCATACAATTCTGCTCTCTGCTATTTTCCCTCAAGTTCTATATTCAATATCATTCTGCAATCATAAATAATTTGTTGAAGTCCAGCTGTGACTTAAGGCCTCTCTACAGACAGCATCCAGGATGCAAAGTAACGTGATACCCTTTTTCTTCTTTAACTGGCTAAAATAGCCTTTAAAAAACTATTTCCACTTCCAGTTCAAACATTGAAACCAACAAACTGGTTGAGTGCAGCATAAATGGTCTCTACCCTGTTTCTTGGTCCTGATGTCTTCTTCATCCCCTTGGGATGGGAGCTGGGTTGTGTTGCATGTTGGTGTGCTCTCCTGCACCGGGGGGCTGAGTTTCTGTGCAGAGGTAGATGTCTTTTCTAAACAGCTTGACTTAGCAGCACTATACACTTACTGTTTATTTGAGTAAGGGATGAGCAGGCTGTTTAAAAACAACATTCCCCAGGTTGTTCTAGTGTCATGTTTGAAAGGCAATGGACAGTCTGGCTTAAAGCTATCCTTTGTAAATAAAGGTTTAGGAACAGGTCTTACCTTGAGTCTTTCCCCTCATGTTCATTAGCCTACTATTCAAGTGTCAGTGGATTTTTTTGGCTTGGTGGATAGCATGTTCATTATTCTCTGGGAGGAGAACCTGGGGAACCTATGATGTGTGTCAGTTTAACACCTTTGAGGGGCAGGTGAGGAATTCTCTCCTGCTCCCTGCACTGGTAACCTATGAATAATCGTGGAGGCAACGGGGCAGTATGTCTTATACCTCTCAGGATCAGCTGTGATGGGCATGGATCCCTGGGGTGAGATCAAGGATGAAATGAACTCTTCTGTGCTTGGATGTGTTGATTATGAGGAGATCATCACTCAACACCCATGTTGTTATCACATTCTGGGCAGTTTACCTCTACCCCCAGGAACAGTTGTAGCAGTTAGCTTTAATCTGCATTCCAATTTTAAATGTAACTTCTGTGTGAACCCCTAGAAAAAAAAA